GAGTACTGAACCAGGAGGACTGAACCAGGACTGAATCAGGATTGAACCAGGACTAAATCAGGTCTAAACTAGGTCTACACCAGTACTAAACCAGAGCTGAACCAGGAGTGAACCAGGTCTAAACCAGAACTGAACCAGTCCTTAGATCTACTTGTAACATGTTACTTTTCTCCATGGAGATGAATAAGTTTAATGCCATACTGTGGAACATTCCCAATAAAAGCAATACCATCCCCATGGAAACATAAAGCAGTCTACATAGTATACTAATAAAACACGGCTCATATAACAAGAAACAAGTTAAGATCCAAGTTGTAACTGAGTGTTTTATAATGTCTGGGCTATTTTCTCACTGTTCAGCATCGTTCTGTGTCAGGAAATGGGTCCACAAATGTGCCGTTTAACTGAAAATTGCCTTTGAACACGACCTGTGTGTTTGAAAAATTGTCTGCCCGTGTTGCTGTTTCATCAGAGTTTACACGATCAGCTCTACACAAAAAGGACATTTGCTGGTATTTATGTTGTTGGCTCTCATTCCTTTGGGATCATTGGACACGGTGGTGATGAGATCTCTATGTTCTTTCTTTATTTATAAATACAGAGCGCTATAGATTAACAGATATTTGAGCAGCAGTGGCGCAATGAGTTATGGATTCATCCTCAAACCGGAGGGTAACAAGTTCGAACCAAAAGTCTGCTGACTTGTTTCTTTTATTTCATTGTTTTAGATCAAAATAAACTGGACAAAGGTTTTAGAAACATCTGACCAGCATTTAAATAATGAATCATGGACACGGGTGTCAGAAATTATAGTTATATAGCAGAAAAAAGCATAACCTCTCTGTTCTGGGTCTGTTTAGGGCAGTGTCTCCTCTGATGTTGCAGGTCTGTAGTTGTGAGGTTGTAGTGTGGTGTTTGTTTGATGCAGTTGATGGATGGGACCTTGCCGTTAATGTGTAGTCCACTGTGAGGCTGAGTCTTATGTGTGACAGAAAACAGGCTCACTGCACTAAAGGACATGTCCAGGGCATCTGACAAAACACAGGTAATGACCACATCTGCAAATACAGTTAATATGATCTGGATTTAAAGAGACAATTGGCTTTTCCTGTTTATATCTTTTTAATTTAGTTTATTAATGAGTTTCAAGCTACAGCAATAATCCTCTGTTGAAATAGCAATTAAAATCTAATATATTTTCAATGGAGAAAGTGATTTATGAGGGAAAATTACTTGGTTTTCTTGTTGTTGAGTTGGTATTATTTTAGATAAGTCTTTGTAGTTTTTATAGTGCATATAAACTTATATAGACTTTTACTTATGACCTGAAATTGACATTATTTTAATATGTTCATAATGGATGGTTTCATGTGATTTGATTCAACGCCTTCATATTGAACTAGAGAATGTGTTTTCACTGTGGCCCTGCTTGACTGTGAGAGAGAAAATGGACAGTGATACTTAAAATGTAGTGCACTGTATCCATACAAAAATAAAGCTTCAGTAAATGCTAACAATATTACTACCAATTACTGTATTTACTTTGACTAAAATATTATTAGTAAAACAGTTCTAAGTGTGTGCACTGCTCACACTCACAGCTCTTTTACAACACTGTTTAGCATGTTTAGGTTTTCACAGCTTGTCAGTGTAGTCATGGCCCATTTTGTGTTTAAGTATGGGATAAACAAACTTCCCCTTGCTGTTTTAGTGCTCATAAGCAGCACTGCTCTGGCATTGTTTTAAATAAAGGTTTGTGGCTTGTGGCATTTAACACGGTTTAAAATAGACAACATGATGATTTAGAGGTATCAAAACGTTTCATGGTGCAACTGCTAGACACCTGCTCTCTGTGTTCACTCATTTATTATAATGTCCGTCTCAAGCACTTTGGCACGGTCCTGCAGTAACTCATGTGTTACAGATCACTGGCATTGTCCTTCAGCAGTATAGTTCATAATACCCAATTACACATGCATCATATGCAGTAAAGGTTCTACAGTACACAAAATTGTGAGCTCTTGTGAGCTTTAAGCCACGTTAGAATCAAAAACACACCTGGCGTTGTGATTTGTTTCATTCACATGTTTGAGTAACCATCTGTTTCTATCTCCAAAGCTCAAATGCTCAGAATCCAAATGATTTTAATAAAGGCATATGGAGTTTAAAATCACAGAGGAGCTTTTCCTGAATTACCATATAACATCACAAGGTGGAACAGTCTAGAAGAAGCATAAATATGCAGGATTTCTGTGTTAAACGTGTGAATGAAACAAAACACAACTGTAGGTATGTTTTTGATGAGGAAACATAATACAACATATATCAGAAAATAGCATAATATCGTTAAAAGCTTAAAAGTAGCTGTCCTCTGAATACAACCAACCAGAATACAATTACTCAAAATTAGTATTGTTTTTCCCAGCAATGTCACTGCGGCATCATAATTCATAATTCATAATTCATAATTCAACACTACATGCATCCTAATTCAAGCTGTCTAGTTGGAACTCTTCTGTATCCCTGGGGATATTGTGAGTCTTTAGTCTGGGACTCACTGGTATAGCTACTATTCTGACAGGTATTTACAGTATATTTTGTAAGTTACGGCCAGTGCGTGTGGTAGTCCTTGGCTGGGCCTCCTCACAGTCCTACCTCAAGCTCGTCTTTCCTGTGTGAACATGAGACTGAAATGCATGGCAGTCACTTCACCTTATGATTTAGCTCCTTGCTCTGCTGTACGTTTAAACACATGTGATCCACAGGGTTAAGTTGCACCATGTTGGGTACAGGCGTGCATAGATCTGCAGTATTTTACAGCCTCGATGGTTTTAACAAGTGCAATGCAACCTCTTCACAGGACCACATGGAGTCTTGCTTTGAGCGTACTAGAGCTCTAGGCATGTAGTGGTTTAGTAGCTTAGTCGACCAAAATTTATATTAGTCGATTAATCATTTTATTTACAAAAAAATGCAGATTCAACCCATGATTCAAGTCATTTTATATAAATATATTTTTATTTCAAATTAGGGTTGTCAGAAGTAAAGAAAAGTAAGAGAAAATCAGATACTAATTGATTCTAAAACTAGTATAGAAACTAGATACTCATTTGAGCAAGTATCAATCCTAAAAAAAAATGACAGGACAGAAAAATTAACCTTTCCCGAATCGCTTTAGAATGATCTTGAGCTGTATCAGAACAAATATAAGAGCATATAGACTAGTGTACGCCCATGGACCACTATGAAACCTACCTGGATGACAGAGGATTACGCAGATATAAAGCAACTTGGTAATATAAAAGAAAGTATTGTGATTTAATGTTTAAAATCCCATTCAATTGTCTAAAGAAAGAGTCTATTCCTTAGTATCATAGTATTGTAACAACACTAGATCAGATACATAGAGATGTACATGAGAGTTTTTGCCACATCTCATTTTCAGTCAACTACTCTATTGGCAGGCCATGTTTTTAGTCGACCAAGACGTTCTTCAGTTTCTACCACCCTAGAGCATCTGTGTGTGTGTATCTAAGTGTAAAGCTCTCAAATACTTGGAAGGGGAAGATGAGGCATGTCCCCTCTTTCAGGATCTCTTCCTCTGGCTTGTCTCCAAGACTCCTGCTTCTTCTCCGGGAGGGGTTTTTCCAATCTCCATGCCCATTTTGTCTATTTCTGTCTGCCAGAGTATTCAGGTTGGTGTGTATCCCTTACACACTCCACTCTGTTATCTCAAAACTCTACACGCAGACAGACAGAATTTAGTTTTGACCATTCTTCAAGTCTCAATTGTCATTCCTGTTATTTATTGTTGCCCAAATACTGTACTGTACATACTCGTAGTCACCGTAGTTTAAAAATGAGCTAGAGGTCAAGAGTCAGAATTTTATGGTGATTTGATCTTTAACTGTCAGACTTCAGATTTGTTGACTTGGTTTATGATTAATATCTCTGTAATTGTTACACCAGCTATCCATTTGAAACAAAAACTGGCACAATTCAAGGTTTTATAGTCTCATTTCCATAGGGGAGCTACAGGTGCGGAGTGTTTCTACTGCGTAAAGCAATCTGTGCCTCCCTGTTTTAGGGGTCCCAAGCGGACTGCTGGAGTTACTACCTTCAGAGGGGTTTTGCACGGTTAGGACCTGGGACTGCCTTGTGGGGATGAGGCTAGACATGCCTCCACGCAGTCATTCAAGCACTGGCGCACGTGTGGCAAAATATAAATAGTGTAAACCAAATTTCTTAGATAAACGATCATCAATAAGATGGCTTGGGATGTCGGGATGTCACATCCCACCATCTCGTATTGCGCAGCGTAGGCCAAGCTCTTTGGCTGCTACGTGGCTCCAATGACAGCAGTGAAAGTGTGGTTCTACAGCGCTGTGTGCATCGCTGTGCTGCTGTGCAGGAACATTTTGTGCATTTGCTCACATATTTGTAGTTGCCACTGCTTCTGGCGCTGTATGACAGAGAGCAACATCTTCTGTTGTTGGTGCATATTGATGAACAGAACAATGATGAAATATAGTATTTGTCACTGCTCATTTTTGTGTTGCTGTCGATCAGTGTTGATGCGCCTTTAGCACTTGTCTTTTTTATATCTGTCCAGCGCCTCTTAGAGGTGCAACCCTATGTCTTACCACTGGTGACCTGTGTCACGCTCAAGAGGCACGCCCAAAACATCCTGACCGCAAAAACAGAATCTAATTGACCACCAATGAAACCTTCTCTACAGTGAAAAACTCCTGGACGAATGAAGGATAACACGTATCATGATAAGTTTATATATTTTATTCAAAAACTGTGAAACTCCCATGTAGTTACTCTGTAGGTTTTGCAAATGTGTGATTGGAGTTCAGAAAGGCTGTTGGCAGAAACTGGAAACATTAGCTAAAAGTCCAATGCATTATTATTAGTTATACTGTATGGCTGAATTATTGGTTTATTAGTGTTATCTATTTTCTACTGGGCTTTAACTCAGTGTATACTTGTTGCAGCTCTACGGAGAGTACAGGGAGCAGCTGGGAAACTTTGCCCGTCGAGAGGCAGCACGTTTACTCACAGAGAGACAATGGAAGAAAAGAGCTGGAGAGGGCAGCACGTCCAGCTTGCGCAAAGGGCTCGGGAGAAGGCACCACCATCATCACCCCGCCACCCTCGAATCCCACCACAGCCATGTCTCCTCCAGCCTGAAACCACGCCCATACTCCAAATGCCAAGGTGAGTACAGAAATAATGGAGTAAACGCATACTTTTTCCATAAACTACCCAGCGCAGGCGATGGGTATTTGTGCATTTCTAGGTTTAGAAATGAGCAGATACAGCTTTGAGACAGCGTTACTTTGGGAGGAAAGGGGTTTGTACTGTACACAGTAATCTAATAAATAATTATCCATTTCCACCCATGTTTAATTGTGATCTGACTGACCTTATAATCATCTGCCAAACTGAAGAAATCTTTATACCACAATTTGGTGCTTTTCAGTTTAATGGCATTCTATGCTCACAGACACATGCCACATCTACTTTTCCCCACCCACTCCTCCAATCAGTTAGCCTCTGTCATGCTTTGAGTAAGTGACAGGTAGTTTTAACCAATCACAGTGAAGTGTAAAACCTCGTAATGAGTAAATACATTTAGTTTTCTATGATAAGAATTATGAACTGAAACAAAATCATGACATATGCTTAGTAAAAATTGTGAGATGATGTTTTACCATCTTGCGCTCACATATGCAGAAGAGTATACAACTGTGACAAGCAAGTTCCTGGTTTGTGAATTATGTTCACTGACAATGGCAATAAATCTTATTCTAATTCTGTCCTAAACAATGTTTCAAAAGTAGAGTACAAAATAATTTGTATTGTAGAGTAGTGTATTGTGTTGCATCCCTCTCCAACTATTCCTTGTTATTTCAAGTAATATTCCCCATTGCATCTTTCTGACGAAGGCTAAGTCAGTTATTAGAAGTCTGTGATACATTACATTTCAGATTAAGATTTTGTATTGTGTCCCAGATTGTTTGGCTCGTGTGCGGCGTTACATCGTGAACAAGATGGGGGAGGACTGGATTTTCCTGGTGCTTCTTGGTCTGGCTATGGCCCTGGTCAGTTGGACTATGGACTACGCCAGTGCCAAGAGTCTCCAAGGTACAAGAAAAAAAAATTATCTTGTGATCTCGTGCCACAAGATCTTGGGGAACAAAATTGCCACAGGATTGTGCACACATGAAGAAAATGACCATATGAGATTTTTCTTCACATTTACATTTGGATTAGTGCTTTCTTTAAGTGACCGTGTGGTTCTGGACTGGTGTTGATAAAGTTCAAGATTACCGTAAAACTGTGTAAGAAAGGTCAGATTTAGTCATGTTTATAGGATTTTTTCAGTATTGATACTGAAATAGTTAAATTGGGTATCTATTTTTGACACTGGTTTAAGTATTGATAAGTATCTAATTTTAATTATGATAAAATCTTCTTGTGGACCCAGTCTCTTATCTTGTCTCATCTTGTGGAAATTGTGGCTAGTCCCACCACTATTAATTAAACTGAATTATTAATTAACCCGAATTGAATTACTTCTATTTTCACCGTGTAATAAATCCTTTGATATATCCCTGTATTTGCATGCCACTTCAGCCTACAAGTGGATACATGGGGAGCTTAAGGGGAATGTGCCACTGCAGTACCTGGCTTGGGTGACTTATCCCATGATTCTGGTCATGTTTGCATCGCTCTTCTGTCACCTGGTTTCCCCGCAGGCCATCGGTAAGCTCTTTACTGCCTAACAGCGCTCTCCGCATTTCCTTTGACATAAATGAGTGTGAATGTGTTTAACTGTGGTGGGGCCATAGTTAATGAATAATGAATGACATTGTACAGCCACTTTGAGTGCCTGGAACCACTGTGGATAAAACTGTATGGTCTATTATTATATGCTGTCAATGCTGAAAATGCCTATGTTATGCTTTATTTAGGCTTTTGGAAACCTTAGGATTCAAATGTAATTTTCTCTCACACTCTATTATTTATATTAATCATATATTAATTAGGAATGCACCAATCTAGGTTTTTAGTTCCAATACTGATTCTGATACTATAACTTTAAGTATCTGCCAATACTCAACATCAACAGATACACATGCAAAAACTGAAAATAGCAAGTATACAGAGTTTTTCACATTAATACGGGAGGCTATGGTCTATAAATTTCCCCTATAGCCATTGTATAATATTGTATCATTACATTTAAAAGTAACTATACCAGGCAAAAAGTACTGCCTAAAGATTAAATATATAATAAGCAACGCAAGCAAATTGTTAATCCTCACACTATGAGATTAAATTATTCCAATGAAAAATGATCTGTGCCATCACCGTTTCCCCGGGTTATATGGAAAACACAACATAATTAATATTTATGTAGAGAGAGAAGAGAATGATTCAAATAATTGGTACTGCTCTGATGGAAACTCTAGGGAATGGAAGGCAACACTGCAATTTGTCTTTTCCTCACTGTATACAAATGCTATTCTCATTTTAAACAATATTAGCAGTTGAGTAAGCCACTTGCATGATTCACATTATGGAAAAAAGATAAGCCAGTCACTGAAATTAATATTCAAAAATCAGTAGAGTGACAGAATGTGGGCTTTAAAAACATGGAGAAGCGCCACATGAAGCAAGAGAGAGAAGGAGGTGTTACTAAAAATACCAGGCGCGCTTTTAATGGGTGAACAACAGAGTAACACATCTTAAGTCTTGGATCTTTAAACAATTCATCTTCTTTGGTACTCTGTCCTCTTATCTACAGGCTCTGGTATCCCTGAGCTGAAAACTATATTACGAGGTGTGGTGCTAAAAGAATATTTAACCCTGAAAGCCTTCATCGCCAAAGTCATCGGCCTCACTGCGGGTTTGGGCAGCGGCATGCCAGTGGGGAAAGAGGTAAATTTTTCTAATAAGCACCATCTTTAGATTTGCAAAGTATGCTTCAATAGTAGGATCCTGTTCACACCATCCAATACACCCACACATGAGTAAGGTTGTCAAAAGCATCAAGTCAGATACTAATCATTATTAAAACTAGTACAGAAACAAGATTTTCAAGCAAGAATCACTGCTAAAAAATCTAGTACATACAATACTTACATGGTAACATAAACAAATCATATCAATTAACTATGGAACCTATTTCTTATTATCGAAATTGAGCTTGAAATTGAGGTATCATGACTCTCTCCAGGAGCATTAACATTTAAGAGAAGATGTGAACTTAACTAATAAAATCCTATACATTTCATATGGGTCTGAACTGCAGGGTCAGCAAGTTGTATACATAAATAGGAACATTTTTTTAGCTGAATATTCAAATGATTGCAATTGTGATTTGCAAATTGCAACCATTTAAACTGCATTTTTGTCCAATTGTGATTAATTTCGCTGCCCTACTGTTTATTGTTAGAAAATGCATTGGTCTTTTCTATTTTTTCATCCTCAAAGCATGGACTATAATAAATCATCTTGTGTCAAGCTTTTCCTCACTTACTGCTCTCACGAGACCAACCAGAATTATTCAAGTCCTCAGCTGCAGAGTACATTCATTTTCCCCATTACATTAGCAGGGCAACTGTCACATCCAGCAATTATATGTGATTTATCTGCTCTGATACATCATGTCCTACTTTAGACTCATGTGTTAGATATTGCAGTTGTCATACAGAGTGGATTGTGGTGGCACTGTACCTCACTGCTGGGCTGTATCTTTCCCAGGGGCCGTTTGTCCACATTGCCAGTATCTGTGCCGCGGTGCTCAGTCGATTCATGTCCATTTTCTCAGGCGTATATGAGGTAAGATGAGACCCTGACCAAAGAAAATCAGTGTTACCTATATGTCATGATTACTGTTGCAAGTCGTTGTGTTGCCTGGCTTGCAATGGTGGTTTTTTTTCACTGTTACTGTATACCAAATTCCATATTAGACTTTGACTACTGGACTATTTACACACCAATATTTACTGATATACCTGTAGTTAAACACAACCACATTCTTTCTATTTGTTGGCTTCTGGTCCAAGAAATAAAAAAAAATACTACTACATTTGCATAATGTAAAGAGCCACAGCCAACTCTAACACAAGAGGCAATTATATTATGATCTTATCTGGCTTTTTCTTCTTGGCATTCATGTTGTCAACTAAATGTGCAATACATGGGACACATGGGAAGCCTTTGTTTTGCTCTTTAAAGTGTCCACCCTGCCGACCCCCTCAAATCCCATTATGGTTTTGTTTTGGATGGTCCCGCACACGTTGTCTGTGTTTGTGTCTCACTGTATTAATAGTGTGATGGTAATGTCTGGCATGTCTATTAACAGTGAACTCCCATACCCCTGTCTCTCTTGTCTGCCCGCCCCGCTCCCCCCGTAACCCTTTGCTTTCTGGCTCCCGGCTCTGTCTACACGCTTCACCTTTGACCCCAGAATGGCATCCATAATCAGGACCTGTTGGTGTGTGCGTGTGCTGTGGGAGTGGCCACCTGTTTCGCCGCCCCTGTGGGAGGCAAGTCTTTGCCTTGCTCTTGGCCCAGCCTCAAACTGCTCCACCTGGCAGCACGACTCTGGGCAAATCTGTCCTCCTGTATTAGAAACAACACAAGGGGAGATTGTGATTAAATATCTGAGTCAGAAATCAGTGAACACATTTCGCAAAGTAGGAATGTGCTTCTTTGACAACATAAAACAATGAATAATAGTAAATATAAAATACGATCAAATAAAAGTAGGGTGACAAGATTTTCTGGGCTGGGACATGCTCGGGTTGGTATAAATAAAATTGTGAAAGGAGCAAAGATTGTGCAATTCTCATGTCAGTCATAATCTGAAGGAGCATTTTTTTTTTTTGCTTTATGGTTATTCGCAAACACGGTGTTCTGTATTTTGGCAAAACAAATGACAATTTATGCTCCTTGTTACTGTTGGCAGGGATCAGATTAATTAAAAATTGTGATAGTCCTGTTTTAGTCCTGGTTTTGAGTTGATCCTAGTTTAATCTTAGTTTAGTCGTGGTTTAGACTTGGTGTAGATCAGATTGGTCAAAAACAGGGACACCTGGGACATTTTTTTTTGTATAAAACTGGGACAAAGCAGTGGTTTTGGATAAATCTGCTGGGACGGGGGACACAGGGCTCAATATAGGGACTGTCCTGTGTAAATAGGGACGTCTGGTCACCCTAAAAAGGCATGTGGAAATAAGTAATCTAACTGTAATACATTCATCCACATTAGGCCTACAAAAGGATACAATTATCTCAATTTAAAACCTATATGCTAAATGTTTCTTAATTAGTATAACCTACTGAAGCTACAAAATATGCAATCTATTGAATTCATGCCTTTTTAACTAAACATGTCCCTTTTCAGTGTACATTTTGAAACTGAATCCTTGCCAAAACATAGACTAAAGCATGAGCTAAAGTCAATAATAGTCAAATAGTAAACAAACTGAGTTGTTTCTACATATAATTATATTACTTTTTTTTCTGAAATGTTATCAGTATACTTACACAAAACGCCTTCCTTAAAATATTTACAAACACAATGAATTTTAGAAAAGCTTTAACTCTAAGCTCCTAAACTAATGTTAACTCACAGATGCTAACTTACCTGTGGAGCTAGCAGACCCCGCACTTCAACTCACCTGACCGTATTTACTGTTTTTGAGTCATATTCTGTACATTTTAAAGAAAACACCGGCATATATATATCTTAAACTGTAACTATTAAGTATAGCTGGACATTTAGTTATATTTACTTTTTAATGCATGCAGTTTTGTTGGTGGCTAAACTGCATGGCGCTTTGTAGCATTGTCTCTGATTGATCTGATACTGTTGGCGGGGGTTTTAATCTTAATTTCCTTTTAATGAACAATATTTATTCACTTTGTGCCATTTTCCCCTTTGGTTTCTCTCTCCTCACTCTTCACCTGCTTTTCTCCATCACCTCCGTCCCCCCTGGATGCTCCTCCCCGGCACCTCTCTCCTCTCCTGCCCGCTCCCTCTTGGCCTCCCCCCCGGTGTCCCTGCTTTGGTCCTCTGTCCCCGGCTCTTCCCCGGCTCCTGTGCCTCCTGTTCCCTGTGTCAGTAGAACCCGTACGGGTACACAGATATTCTGACGGTGGGCTGCGCTGTGGGGGTGGGCTGCTGCTTCGGCACTCCACTAGGAGGTACTGTACCACTGCACGTGCTCCTGCTGTGCTCAAACTGCCTCATCCAGGGGCAAGGACCATGTGCTGTTTGATAATTGTCCCTCTCATCTTTTTTGTTTGCTGTCAGTGCTTTTTCCTGTTGAACGAGCTCATGTTAGCCAGCTTTGCAAGTTGTTTTAAACCATTCTTTGTGCCTTATAACATTGGTGTTTATTGGTGTTTATTGGTGTAACTAATGAAAGCTTTTTTTCTCATGAAATATGTATGCTGTATCAAGGCCATTATTTTGATGTTTCTCATACATGCACATGTCTTGCATTCAGATAAGTCGATAGACAGACCTTTTCTTTCACTACAAGTTAAAATGAATCTATGCACTCATTGTTAAACGTACAATAAGCCACTGAAGTACTCTGTTAATCTATTTTCTAAATGATTCTAAACCATGTTCTAAACCAGACCTGGGCATTATACAGCTCCTGGGGTACATATGGTCCTTTGGTTTACTCTGACTGGCTCCTTTAAGCTAATTGGAATTATAAAATAAACATATTTTATAATTTTACATCATGCATGAACTGAAGTTGCATTGCTTTTATTTTAGAGGTGTTTTTTTTTTTTTTTAATTGCATTTTTTGTAAGGCAACCTCACTTTTTCATTGCTTAGTCATAACATATCCTTACCAGCTTGTCAAAACAAAGCTTTTTACTGCTTTTTAAAATAAAGAAATACTTACTTAGTATTAGTACCATCCAGAATTGAGTTAAGCATTTTGGCCCGGGCCTCCACAATATTTTCTGTTTCTCATATGGCCCCATAGAAAAAAAACAATTGCCCACCCCGTTCTAATCTAACATAACAACAACAGATGTAGTTAATACGATTAACTGAGATTCAGGAGCAGGACCACGCCTCAGCCGCCCTCTCCTCTCACCAGCGAACCACAACTCACCTTGACCACGCCTCTAATTTCCCAGCAGCCTATATGTAGCAGCCTTTCCCATCATCCCAGTTTGTCTCGGTGAACTCGACCCCACCCTCCCATCCCCTATTTTGTCTTTCAGTCATAAGACCCCTACAAGGGGGGTCCCGTTCCGGCTGGGCCAATTGTAGATTGAGACGGAGCCCCCACCCATAGTCTCAACCCAGCCATCTTTGTCTCGCTTCGTACATTATCAGTAAACTTCTTCGCACTATGCCGTTGTTGGCGTGGTCCTAGCTAGTGAATAGTCTTTTAAGATACTAAAAGCATTCAATTGCATTACTCATTCAGTCCTCATATAGTGTTGGTAAAATACTCTGTAGCCACAGCTGTCCTGCTGTCACTTAACAGAAACATGACTATTAATCTGCACCATTGGCCTTTCAAAGCACCAGCAATCACACACATCACATTCATACAATTAACCTACATTACAGTCATGATATTACTACTCCAACTTGAGCCTATAATAATCATCCAGGCAGCTTTTTATCCTAGTAAGGGAAATGGTTAAAATAGAGGTCACCATTTATTGCATTACATTATATTCAATTTTCTCTGGTCACGACAGTCATAAGGTTCAGATGAGATTTGCTGAAGGTTTACACCATTCCCCTCATGTGCCCTGTATTTACCCTGCATGCACCTGTGTTAGTCAGACTACATGTGGTCCTCCTGTTGAGTATAATTACACTCTAGGCTTTAAGTACTTTCAAACATCTTTCTCTCCTCTCCTCCTTCTCCCTCCCTCCCTCTGGTCTGCTCCCTCCCTTCTCCACCACCAGGGGTCCTGTTCAGTATTGAGGTCACGTCTACCTACTTCGCGGTGAGGAATTACTGGCGAGGTTATTTCGCTGCCACGTTCAGCGCCTTCATATTCAGGGTGCTCTCCGTTTGGAACAAGGATGCTGGTAAGACAGGCAGCTAATACTGTCTATGCCCATGTCTGCTCCATTTGAATGCTGTGTAATGAGAGGGGACTGTGTGGAAGTGGGGATTTTTTTTATATTTTTTTTCCACAAGTTGAAATTGAAAATGACACTTTTGGGGAACTATGCAGCTGCAAAACAAGCTGAAGAAAATGAAAAACTTTAAACTTTATACTATTTAAAACTATTTTTAAAGGTCCTATATTATGCAAAATTGTCTCTAGAATGTTGTCACTGAAAAACATACCCGGAGTTACGCTCACACATATTTGAATAACATTTTATTACTTGTCTTTCTACATCTCCAAAGCTCTGCTCCACCTTATGATGTCATGACACCATAGTTTTAAGTTTATTCTAACAGTTCAGTAAAGATTGGCAGTGCCATGTCTGAAATTATCCAAATGGTTCTAGTGAAAGTGTTTAGAGTTTAAAAACACAGTCGAGTGCTTTCTGTATCACCACATGACATCACAAAGTCGAACAGAGTGTTTTCTGTTTGAGAGAAGAACTCAGCCTAAATATGCAAGATTTGTGAGTTAAACATGTGTGAATGAAACAAAACACAAGTCCAGGTCCATTTGTGATGCAGAAATAACCTAAGATAGATCACAAAATAGTGTAATATCAGCCCTTTAAAAATGCTATTTTTGATACAATAAGTTAATGAACAACGAACAAACAGTTTATCTAGTCGTCTAGTCAGAGTGATTTGTTTTTCAATCAGTTAAATCTTTATCTGTATTGTACATTGAGACTTTTCAAATGCATTATCACCCAAAAAATGTTGAAAGATGACATCCAGATTCAAATTATTAACAAATGATGTGTATTAGTGATGTGACATTTTCATTTAATAATGCAGCTGTCTTTAAAAATTTATTTTTGTTTGTGTTTTTACAATCTGTATAGTCCAGATAATTATTATGATGATGAAAACATGACTTTACGACAATGTTGCTTTTATAATCAGCTAATGTCATAATTAGTCAACTAATCATTTTTGCCCTACAGTAAGTAAAGACTTGCCATTTGCCAGATGATGGATAATCGAAAATCCAAGAATATTATCTGAAATCTATTACTTTTCGTCAGTGTTATTTATCCACCCGTTAGTAACTTGTGCAATAATAGTCTATATATTGACATGCATTTCCAGCTAAATATCTATATTATTTTTTTCTTCCACAGTTACAATCACAGCACTCTTCAAAACAAACTTCAGGATGGATTTTCCGTTCGATCTACAAGAGCTTCCTGCATTTGCAGTCATAGGGTGAGTATATTGCTGTTTTTTATGTTGTTGAATCTATTCCCCTGTATTTATTTAACCTAATTTATATTTTTTAGGATTTCTTGTGGCTTTCTTGGGGCGTTCTTTGTCTACTTGAACAGACAAGTGGTGCTTTTCATGCGAAGGCCGACTGCTCTCACTCGATTTCTGACAAAACAGTAAGATTTCCCACACTGCAAAACACTGGCTTGGGTCGAGACATTTTACTTGAATTCAGTTGAATAGTTTTGACAGAGGATTTACCTGGACAGGTCATTTCTGATGGTAAGACCATTTAGCTTGAAATAAGAAAATGAGTCTGCCAGTGAGTGCAAGGCAATTTTATTTCTTACCCCATAGGCAATGTAGTAAATCACGTTATATGATCTAGAGCAGGTCTATCTTGTAAATGTTAATATCTCTCTACCTAAAGGAACAAAATGGTGTCATGGTGGTAAGTTCTCCCCGTTTGCCTGCATCGGTTTCCTCAAGATCCTCTGGTTCATTAACAGCAGACAGCAGTGACAATGTGAAATATAATGAAAAAAGAATGATGCAGCATAATTACAATAATGAGTTGCTGTGTACATTAGCAGAATTAAAAAGGGAACTAGAAACAATGACAGATATTTTGAAGATGCAATAAAAGGGCACTTCAATACAACTGGAATGAGGTTATATATTATGAGGGCTGGGTATCATTAAGATACATACCTCCATAGTTACATAAGCCACGATACGATACATATCTTGATACAGTGTTCTTTCGATCCGATACAATATATTGCAAATCGATCCGATACTGTTCAAGGAAAAATAAAGGCTGTGATAGTAAAAGTCTTTGTTAAACAACTTCTTGTGAAAAGTTCATATGAAACACACACATTTTAATCATCAAAACAGTGAATATATCAAATGTGCTGCATAAATGAGTTTCCTTCCTCTAAACAAGCAACTAAATTGTAACGCTGTAACAAAATAATTTAGTAAAATATACCAAAAAATACTCTTGGCGATATATCAATATGTTGGCCCACAATATCGATACTGTATAATCACATTAAGCGATACGATATATCAATATTTCAATATTTTTGCACACCCTTATAGATCAAATATGTGCAGGAAGACTATTGCATTAGTGTGGGGCCTTAAACTGAAAAGCAAATTTACCAGTTTAATTTTTAACGCTATAGTGACAGCAAAGAAAAGGTGGTCGATATGGCATAAATTATGGTACTAAACGGTGCAAAAGACTAAAATATCAAACTCGATTGCGATTTCTCGATTTACTAAAGAATAGACTCAATACCAATTCTAATACCACAATTATAATAAACACTCTTTTCTTTGGACAATATCTTCATCTGCGTAATCCCTCAGTTGTCCAAGTAGGTTCCATAATTGTCCATGGGTATAATAGTCTAGTAGTTTATGTGCTCTTATGCTTTTTCTGATGCAGCTCAAGATCATTCTAAAACTCTTCAGGAAAGGTTCATTCCTGTCATTAATTTTTTAACATTCATACCTGCTGAAATTAGTATCTGCATAGTTCTGATACTAGTTTTAGTATGTGACTTGCAGTACTTTTGACAACCCTACAAAATACCGCTTTATATAGATGGGGTAATTAAAGTAAGATTCATTTCAAAATACATTTTAAGAAGTCATTTTAACTAATCTTGATACTACTTTTTGACATGAACACACAGAAACACCATCATTTTGCTCAAACTGAGGCAGTCGGGGCAGTTATTCTTGGAGTTTAATTCAGTCTAATGTATCTCAGCTCCACTTTGCTCTCTCATCAGTCTCAGTACAGTGGCGCGGGCAGCAGGAAAGCCTCAACAACCTCTCACGCGCTTATTTCCTGAATAGAGATTCACTCAGAAACCAAACCGTCAGGCAACATTAGCTGTCACCATTAAAGAAACAGAAGAGCCGTGTATTTCAGTCAGCACTACTGTCGCACAAACGCCCATTTCCACTGCTGTAAACAGTTCGCTGCCAAATGGATATCGAGGCTAATTAAATGTACTTGAAATCAAAATATTCATTAATTACTTTCAGTGGTTTTGACTATTTAACAGTTCATTACATAGCCTGGAATGTTTCGCAGTAATCACATCTTCAAGTAAAGCCACAAAGCCAAATTACATGTCAGATCTGTGGAGAGGTGACACAGCTCACAGTAAGAATGCATGTTTTTTGAGGTGTTTGTGGACACTAAAAAGCTGCTGATTCATCTAGACTAGAGAATTTAACTTGTGTCTAGATGTTTCAGTGCATTACTTATTATTTCAAGTCATATTATTTGTCAGTGACGTAAGAAAATTGCAAGTTCAATATATTTTCTTATTTGAAGCTAAACTATCTTGAAACTTGTCCAGAATGTCTTGAAACAAATTAAATTAAATGTCAAAACTACATAGATAAAGTTTAATATTATAAATTCATATTCACAAAGGCTTATTACTTATTAAACAAGAGGAGCTGTGCAGTTGTACTTAGTTATACTTAATCTCCTTTCATGTCATCTGTAACAGTTGCTGTTGTTGCTGATTTTTATGTCTGTTTTTGTACAGTCGACTCATCTATCCGGGCGCAGTCACTCTGATCATTGCCACCTTCACGTTTCCACCAGGGTTTGGACAGTTTATGGCCGGAGAGGTAACAGACTGTTTGTACAACAAATACAATATTTCTGGTTTGCATGTGCTCCCTGTGCCTGAGCGGGTTTCCTCTGGGTTCTTCTGTTTGCCCCATTAACCTAAAACATGCACTGGAGGCTAATCCTGCGTGACTGGAATCCTGGCTCAAGATCTAGAAATGGGCCTCAGGCGATGCTCTGTACTCCTGACACTTTGCCCTGAGGCACTGGTTCGAGGAAGGGTTAAATGTAGAGAGTGTATTTTCCAACATGGGCAACAAACAAACTCAATTTAAATTGCATATGCCAGTTTTCTGTTTTTCTATTTGTGCTGGATTGTGAGACAATATGGTGGTGCTGTGGAAAGTGGTGAATATTATCATAGTTTTACATCAGTCAAGTGTTTCGTGAATAAAATATGAGCAAAAACTTTAAAATTTCTAAAAAGAAATCCATCAGTACACGAAATTCAAAATACAGAGAATTTATGCTCCCGTCTGCTGCCCATGTTCAACCAAAAAGTAGAATTATAAACTTCACCAAAACTGTCAAACAGAGAAAACTTGGCAAGATATTTAAAAGCATAAATATTATGTTCACTAAGTTTTATGAGTAGCCTAGTCTAACCTATATTAAAAACAGGTAATTTTAACTCAGATAATCTCCAGTGGGTGTTAATTACAACCATGCTGACAAAGATTCAAATGTGTGCAGCTCATGCCTCGTGAATGCATCAACTCTCTGTTCGACAACTTCACCTGGACCAAAATGTCCGGCTCCCCTCTGCCCCCGGGTCTGGGCCGATCCATGGCTTGGCTGCACCCACAAGTCAGTGTCTTCGTCATCCTCCTGCTCTTTTTCATCATGAAGGTAGGTCTGTCTATATTATATTGTGTTCTGTTTACTTCTTTACATCTCATGAAGTAGTTTATGACAGCATACAATTATTTTTAACACGACTACTTAAGTATAAGGCTGTGTTCAAAATTGGGACTTAACTAGGACTAAATTTCAAACTAAACGTGGAATAGACCAGAACAAAAGGGGACTAAAACGGGACCAAACCAAGTCTATATCAGGATTAAACTGAGCTCAGACGAAGACCAAGTGTGAACACAGCCTGAGTGATATAACTACCAAAATCTGTATGGTTGCAATATTTATAAGTTAAACATTTGCGTTTCTTTGTACCTTAAGATACTCTTAGATTTCATATATTGATTTAGTTGTCTATTTGTTGTTTTTGTTGTTTTATATTGACTGTTTTATATCACAAACTAAACATACTAAATCATAAATCACATACTATATTTATAACGTCGTTTCACTACATGAGTAATTATCTGAATGACTGTTACTATAGTACTATTTCTGTCTCCTTTCCTCCTCTGCTTCTGGTATAACAGCGTATAACATGTTCTTTGGTTCCACCTTGATCCTGTTTTTGTTGCAGTTCTGGATGTCAGCAGTTTCAACGACGATGCCCATCCCCTCGGGCGCGTTCATGCCCGTGTTCATTTTAGGTAAGAGGATTGGACCTTGGGAGAGCCCGTGTCCTGCTAAGCCTCTGTTTAAGTTGTTTTTACCTGGTGTTTTCTATACTCCGCTGTAGGAGCAGCTTTCGGGCGCCTTGTGGGAGAGATCATGGCCACTCTGTTTCCAAATGGAATCCTGTTTGATGGGATCGTGTACCGGATACTGCCAGGAGGCTACGCTGTCATTGGTCAGTCCACTGAGCCATTTGCAAAACATCTCAGAGTGACTCAATATGATCTCTGTTTCCTGGTACATGATATTGACTGCAAACTTGTGGTTCTCAAACAGTGGCATATGGTGTTGTTGTTGAGGATAGTTTGCTCCTGGTTAAATTGAGTTTTAAACCTTATTTTGTCCAGGTTTAGGCAAGGCAAGTTTATTTGTGTAGCACTATCATACACAAAGTAATTTAAAATGCTTTACAGATTAAGACATTAAAATTAGACTCCAAACAGACTTTAGTAACTCCTAGTGTACCATGGACCTGCTGAAGCCCTGTTTAGTTCTGGTTTAAACCTAGTGCACACCAACAGTAATTGTGCACTTCAGGCAATCAGGAAATTTAACTTTTCCAACCTGCAGATAGGACAAGTTCCCTGAAACGGTGTGTGAACTAGTAATTCTCACTGATCTAAACATGAGAGCAATCGCCGTACTGAACGATAAACCTAACATTTTTAACACGATTAAGCTTCACACCCCAACTTCATAAGTAGGGGTGTGCAAAAATATTGAAATATCGATATATATCGTATTGTTTAATGTGATGACACAGTACTGATATCATGGGCTGCTGTATCAATATATCGGCAAGAGTATTTTACTCAATTATTTTGTTACAGTTCTACAGTTTTGTTGTTTGTTTAGAGGAAGGAAACTTGTTTATGCAACACATCTGACATTTTCACTGTTTTGATAATTAAAATAGGAGTGTTTTAAATTCACTTTGCACAAGAAGTGGTTTAACAAAGAGTTTTAGTGTCACAGCTATGATTTAGCCATTATTTTTATTTAACCATATCAAATCAATTTGAAATATATCATATCGAACTGAAAGTGCACTGTATCGAGATATGTATCGTATCACATTCTACGTATTGAGGTATGTATTGTTGCAACTTCTTAAAGATACCCAGCTGTATTCATAAGCAATATAAATATTTACTAACCCACTAGATTCATTCATTTAACAAATTTGGCAATGTAATTGAGTTGGAGCTGAGGTATGGAGTCCTGATTCATCTGATTTCCAACCTTATATTTTTTAAAATGACTGCCGGAGACAGATATTTTCTCTGGGGGTAGATGTTGCAGGTAAATTGTAACTTATTGGCTTATAACATGTAAACAATTTGGACATTGTGCTGTTTTCACCAATAGGGGCAGCAGCTATGACCGGGGCCGTCACACACACAGTCTCCACTGCTGTGATCTGCTTTGAGCTGACAGGGCAGATCTCTCACATCCTGCCCATGATGGTGGCTGTGATTCTGGCCAACATGGTGGCTCAAGGCCTGCAGCCGTCCCTCTATGACTCCATCATCCAGGTGAAAAAACTGCCCTACCTGCCTGAGCTGGCCCTCGGGCACATCAGGTAAACCAAATCCACACTGAATAAATAAGTAACTCTTATATTATTTATACGTATTTATTTGACTAGATGTTTTTAAGATTTATTTGACTTGTAGTATGATATTGGTGATTTTCAGATAGTAGTCGTAGTAGAAGTAGTTTATTTGGTCATTTTGCACCACTACAAAACAAAAACATAGACTACAATCCCATAGATTTATGTATTAGTATTATTTAACAAAAATCATTACATTTTAACAGTATTCATTGTAAATCCTCATAGCATATAATGTAATTTGAGACCCAACAGTTTATAGTTGTTTCAAAATATATGCTTTTTGTTTGTATTTTTTACTCTTTGAAAAATATATAATAAAATATAAATGTAAATATCATAAGTAAATAATAAACAATTAAATAAAAATTAAATATACACTTTTCAAAAAACAAATATACATCCACTTTCAGATGTCAAGTCTTACAAGATTTAGAGATTCGTATTTTGTAATGCAGCAACATGTTTCTGTCTGATATTGAGTCCCATTTGTCTTCTCACCCACAGCAAGTACAACATCTTCGTGGAGGATATTATGGTCCGAAAGGTCAAGTTTCTGTCGTCTCAATCCTCCTACAGAGAACTCAACCACCTTCTGGACACAACAACGCTCAAAACTATCCCACTGGTCGACTCTAAAGGTTAGAGTTACGTAGTGCACTTTGGATGACTATTTCGATTTAAAATGTGTACATAATAACATATTGATCCATGAGTGTTGTACATTTGAACTATATAGCAGGCTCAAGCACAAAATATGATCTTTAAAACCTTGATTTGATAATTTGCTCAGGGAATGGGTTTAAGGAAGTATTTAAGCTCATTCTGTCTTGTTGAGACAGAATGGACAACCACCTGTTCCAAAGAGATTATTAGATTATTACTCGATCCCTGGGATGGTTTCGAGTCCAGGAATCTGCTCGAGTCCTGGGAGGGTCTGGATTTCTGGGAGGGTCTTGAGTCCCAGGATGTGCTCGATCCCTGGGAATATCCCAAGTCCAGGGATCTGATCGAGTCCTGGAAGGGTCTCGAATGCAGGGATTTGCTCGAGTCTCGGGAGGATCTCGGGTGTTAGGGTCTCGAATCCAGGGATCTGCTTGAGTCTTGGAAGGGGCCTCAAGTCCTGAAATAGTCCAGGGATCTGCTCTATCCTGAGAGGGTCTCGAGTCATGGGAGGGTCTCAAGTCCAGGGATCTGCTTTAGTCTTGGGAGGGTCTTGAGTCCAGGGATCTGCTTGATCCTGAGAGGGTCTCGAGTCATGGGAGGGTCTCGAGTCCAGGGATCTGCTTTAGTCCTGGGAGGGTCTTGAGTCCAGGGATCTGTTTGATCCTGAGAGGGTCTCGAGTCATGCGAGGGTCTCGAGTCCAGGGATCTGCTTTAGTCATGGGAGGGTCTTGAGTCCCGGGAACTGCTCGAGTCCTGGACGGGTCTTGAGTGCAGGGATCTGCTCGAGTCCAGAGATCTGCTCATAACCTTGGCTGGTCTCAATTCCAGGGATCTGCTGGAGTCCTGGAAGGGTCTCAAGTCTTGGAAGAGTCCAGGGATCTGCTTGAGTCCTGGACAGGTCTTGAGTGCAGGGATCTGCTTTAGCCAGGAAATGTTTGTTTAGTAAAACCTTGAAGAAGACCTATTATGCAAAATCGACTTTTCAGAGCTTTTAATCATGTTATAGCTGTTCCCCCTTCTCATTTACAATGTGATCCAAATCCACCATTGTTTAACCTGAAAATTCTGTGTTCGGGTTTATTGGCTATTTATCTTGTGGCTTAAAGCTTAGTCATTGTTTAGTACATTAATATGTATTCAATCATTGCATTTTCTCTTGCCGTTTATTATTATAGTTTAATTTGTGTTGACAGGGACATAAAACATTGAACTTGGTACTAATGTTTATTTTATAACCATGTCCAAGCATCTGGATTTTGACAGTTAAATGGCCAGTTCTTTCTGGCCTGTCCTCCAACTCAAGGTGCATTTTTAGTGGAGAGTCTGCTACCTGCTTTTCTCCATGGAGATCATTATTTTGCCTAGAATGTTCCGCAGTATGCCATAAATCTTATATCTTTCCATGGAGACCAACAAGTGACAGATGCAAGGTGTCTGATGCAAGATACATATGTTTATTGTGGAGCCTCTCAGACAAAACAATAACATCTCCACAGAAACAAGCAGGTGGCAGGAAAAGATACCATAAAAGTTACGCAGTGCACCTTTAAATAATGAGCTCTTCTCAAATGTTATGACACCACCTATTTATAAATTACAACTTTTCATTGCAGTAATCACAATGTATTGGTTCAGTCATTATATTTTACCCTCTCTGCAGAATCCATGATACTTCTAGGCTCCATTGAGAGAACGGAGCTGCAGGCCATCCTCGACTGGTGGCTGTCCCCAGAACGCAGAGCATTTGAGAGGGGTCAGAGTTCACCGGGCCAGGGATCTAAAGTCAGCTGGGAGTCCTTCACCTTTGTGGACGAAGAGGGCGGAGAAGACAACACAGCCAAGGTGCAAAACTGTAAACAACAAAGTACTAAGGGTCAGGCAGTATTCATACAATCTTTTATTGCTTTAATTTGAAATACGTTACAACCAGATGCTAAAAGGAGGAGACTTTTGGTTGTCCTGCACAGCCATTTAGGCCCCCATGAATCATAACAACCTTTTCAGCAATGTACATGTATTGTATATAAAATTAGATACTTTTTTCCTCACAAAAAAATCAAAACTCTTTGGTGTAAATAATAGTTTTTTAGCCTTTTTAGTCAGCTAGTGGAATATATGAATACATTTTTTTTTTTATACTACTCTGTCTTGTTTGAATTCAGGTCTACGTTAAAACCCCATTGCACAACTTTTTAGAAAAATGTAATGTTTTTTTTTTTCCTTTTGGATATTTTTATTGCGCTGAAAACTGTGTCTTTACTGTGAACGGGCTTGGATCTCCACAAACCTGTTCCCTCCTACTTGCCTCCACGGAAATGCTGTTACTTTAGCTATAATTATCCACAGTATGGCATAAAACTCCATGGAGAATGTTCCAAAGTCAAGCAACTGAAGATGACGAGCCAACTTCAGTTAGTTTAAGATTTAGTTCTAATATACTATCACTATCACAGGATTTTGTTGTGGTGTTGGTTTAGCTGCATGTTTCAGAGTCACATTCAAGCTCTTATGTGTCCTTTGTTCTCATATTACGCACACAAAAAATACTGTTTGAATGCACTGTGGTCCACGGTTCTTGTCTGAGTGTAATTCACTTGTTTGTGTGCAGACCACTTCAGCGCTGGAGGAGTGTAACGGCCCCCTCCCCTCTCCAAGGCCTCAAGAGCACTCGTCCAATCACCGGGGCTCAGGTAACACATGCGCGCCGAGCAGACTTTCTTCCAAATGTCACTACCTTTATACAACTCCCTCTTGTGTTTCTTTGTTGCTCTGGTCTTCAGACAAACGAAAGCTGCCCTCAGTGAGACATGCATTACAAAGACTGTTCTCCTCGTCGTCTGCCACCGGACAGGCAGACTCTCAGGTCAGAAACACATCACCATTAATGTCGCACAGCACTGACACTCCAGACACTTCACTGTGGGAGAGCTTTCACTGTGCCTGAGTTAACCTGCTTCAATTCAATTATGCCACTATTCCAGATGGAGGGCAAGGGTCAGAGAAACTCAGTGTGTAAGACACACAATCCGCAAACTGAGAGCTGAGAGTCAAAAGAGCGCGAGAAATATATTGAGTCAAATTGAGTTACATAGGTCAAAAGGAATTAACGCTTATGAAAAGGTGTATTCACTGTCAAAACATAACTGAAATATTCTCTATTAAGTGTGAGGTCTTCAAGGGGACACATTATGTACAGGAAAGCTCATTTCTTGGCAATACATGTGCTAAAATTCAGTTGGTGATGCAAGTTGAATAAACTGGTATGTCATTTTTGGCCGTATTGTCCATCTCTCATTATATTAAAGGGACAGTTTCGAATTTTGGACGTAGGACCTAATTTCCTAGTTAGCCAGAGTGTTGGAGACGTGTGGAGACACTTTTTTAAATGTCCCATCCAGTCCTTGTATTTGCAGAGGTCACTGGTGCTAGGCTAGTGCATGTCAATGGCCATAGTTATCCTGCCACTAAAAACAGTCTTACCCACTCCACAAAACACCCGACGCAAATCTGTTATTACGCCAGACTGTCGATGTGAATGTCTGTGTTGATAGTTTTATTTCAGAGATTATTCTAACCTTGCATCGCATGAATCGTCGCATGTTGAGGGACAATTTCTCAGCAGCAGAATTTTACTTTGGTGGTAAGATAGGTGCTAGGTGATTTCAGTCACTGCCAAGCTTTCTATCAGGAAGTATAACTCACTGCTGCTGCTCAGACATAAATCCTTCAAATGCAAGGTTGTTTTTACTTCATTCATATGGATGGAATATTTTAAAAAGTGTCTCCACACGTCTCCAACACTCTGGCTCACTAGGAAATGAGGTTCTATGTCCAAAATTCCAGACTGTCCCTTTAAAGGTGCTGTACTGTCAATAAAAATAACTATTCCTCCACATTCTTAGCATCCAAATTATTCACTGCATTGCATTTAAAACTTGCGTTCACAACTTTCAGAGGCCAGAGCAGTAATGGTAACAATAACAACCAGCATGGTAACGGCATACTTCCAGGCTTGCGGAGAATGGACAGTAGACAGCAGTTCTTCAATTGACCATTTTGCTTTTACAACATATCTTTATATTTCCCTATTTTCTAATTTATGTTATATTGTTGTTTTCTTGTCAAAAAAACAAAACAAAAACTGAAGTTGTGTGAAGAAGTGTTTTGTTTCATTCACACATATTTAACACACAAATCCTGCTTATTTAGGAGTTCTTCTCTCAAACAAAAAAGCACTCTACGTTTTGATATCATGTAGTAGTAAAAAGAGCTCTTCTGTGTTTTTAAACTCCATATACACCTTCACTAGAATCATTTGGATAATTTCAGCCCTGGAATTGACAATCTTTATTGAACTAAAGGTACAAAATGTAGCTATTTACTTCAACTTCATGACTTCACAAGGTGGAACAGAGCACTTTGAGTAAACCTTTATTATTAGTCTGTCCACATCTCCAAAGCTCAAACATGTGTGAATGAAACAGAACGCAACTCCAGGTACTTTTTTGATGAGGTAACAACATTGTAACACAGCTTAAACCTTTAAAGAAAAATATAGTAACAGATGCTGAAATGTCTGTCTTCTGTTTACAGGAGACTACGGACCCTCCAGTAAATGACTCCATGTCTCCAGAAGAGGTAGTGCACTGTAGAGTATCCTCGTAGATAACCAAGAGTCAATCAGGCTCTCAATCAATAATGTGTGTGTCCGTTTGTGTGGCTGTGATTGGCTGAGGCAGATTAAAGCCTGGGAAGAGGCCGAGCTGGATAAACCAATCGATATGGAGCAGGTTCGCATAGACCCGTCCCCCTTTCAGCTGGTGGAGAGGACATCGCTGCACAAGGTGAGTTTGTGCTGACTTTGTACAAGTACTAATATTTACTGGACAGCTTTTTGATTTTTGCTATCTCAGGTAAACATCAGTGAATTATTCGACTTATAATGATTAAAAAAACAAGAATGGGAATGATTTGAAAGAGATTGTAATGTATCTCTTCATGAATAGGGGCATATTCTGCACAGAGTCTCTTTAAAATGGGGTATTATGAAGAGGTTTTATGTGTTATTCATACGTGTTTTGAGTAATCTCACCTTATTCAAACCCTCCTTATAGTTAACAGTACAATCCCCATATCTCTCCAATACTCAAACCACTAAATACACAAAAGCACGATTCAAAACAATCCACTACAGCTTGACAAACCTGATGCGATGTGCAGTAGTTTATTCGCGGTATGCATACTTATTATGTTGCGATGCCGCTTTGAAGAGGGAGCAAATGGAGGGGGGATTCAGAGCACCAAAAACAAAACTGTAATGATCACTTATGACATTTGACCAGCTCTCCTCTGTCTCTCAGACCCACACTCTCTTCTCTCTGCTGGGCCTCAGTCATGCCTATGTCACCAGCATCGGGAAACTGGTGGGAGTCGTGGCTCTTAAAGAGGTAAAGTAACTGTCTACTATTTTGTTTAATCCTTAAAATACTGCAAAACATTTTTATAGAGTTTAATTGTCTAATTTAGTTTAGTGTACCCAATCTAAGCAATATTTTAGTGGTTGGTGGTTTTGATTATCACTTTTTTGCATAAGGTATGGTATGTTTTCATCTAAGGACAATATAAAACAGACATGTCAGACCAAATTTGGTCCACAATATAATTATATTTGGCCCGCGACGTATCAAATATGTATTAGAGCTGATAGAGATATAGAGACATTATTTATTTAAAATGTTGTTATTATTTTATATTATACTTGTTCTGGATTCAATGTTTAAGCAAAACTATTATTAATAATTTATTTTAATAAGAAAAGGTTTAACATTACATATCTTGAAAGAAGAGAAAACATGCAGATGTAGTTGAAATTTTTCTATACATATTTAGTTTGGCCCACGACTTAGTCCCAGTTTTTAATTTTGGCCCTCTGTAAATTTGAGTTTGATATAAAACATGGCATTGACTCAAAAATTAAACAAAATAGAAAACTTCAGAATGAGAAACATATATGGGTTCAATTACAGCATTTCAACATTTTAGTTTTTTCAGTGATGAATCATTATGCAAACACAAAAGCGCAGTACAATGGAGATAAAATGTGCATCTGTTTTTGGAGGTTTCTTGTTAAAAAGTTAAATTATCCAGTTTAGTCTGACCTTCTCTTCTATGGCTTTTTAAATTGGTTACACATAAAAGTCATATTAACTTCAAAAGCATGTTATTAGGCTGTATGCTCCCAAAATGTTACACTCATTTTACTAAAGGCCATTGAAGGCTCCACTCACACTGGTGTGAATTTAGTATAATTTATTTAACAAAACAAAACATCCACAATTACAAACATGTTTCTGTCCTGAGTCTTTACATGTCATTATACAAAAATAAATGAGGAAATACTGAGGGTAAAAAAGGAAGTGTGTGTTTTTGGAGCTGTAAGCGAAGTATTAAACCCGGGTGCCAAATTAAACTGTGTTATTTTGGTCATGGATTTTGCAATTAACTATGTGGCTTCTTGAAGTTGTGTATTTATTTGTTCTTGTTTGCTCACAGTTACAAAAGGCCATTGAAGGATCCACTCGCAGCGGTGTGAGGCTACGTCCACCGTTGGCCAGCTTCAGGGACGCAAGCCGAAAAGCCAAGAAGCACCAGCCACCCTCCTCGTCCACGCCTTCGTCCCCCACGCGGGAGAGAGATCTGTGGGGCGAGGGGGGCAGCAGACCGGGGGGAGGCGGTGGGGAGATGGTCCGGAGTGTTTCCAATCACGACTTCCAAAGAAAAGCATCGTCCAGCAGACTCACATCGCTCTCTGACACCGCGCCTTCGTCTCCCGGGAGCAGTTCTCTGGCCTCTGCGGCAGGGGGCAGCCAAGAGGAGCCGGTGTCCCCCTCTACCTCCTCTTCCTCACCCTCTTCTTCCTCACCCGCTGCCTCCCCTCGCTCGCCCAACCCCCCCGTGCTCACCCTGTCCTCACTGCAGGAGGAACGGGAGAGCGAGGAGTCCGATGAGCCCATTTAGGACAAACTGCGGTGTTTAAAGACTTAAGGCTGTGGTGGTGATATGGGAAACCTCTTGGGCCTCAGTCACTGTTATGGATGTCATTTTGAGGACTTTTAAGACAGAATATTTTGTTATTTGCTTTGAAAACGGTCCTAATGTTTCATCACACTGAACCCCCATGGATACACTTACATTCTCTAATACTGATAATGCCTTACATTTGCTTTGTGCTGTACTGGCATCACAAAGCGCTACACTGCAGTCATTTTTCATTCAGCCCTGACAGTTTGTGGTAAGCTAATTTTAGAGATCCTTCCCATTTTTGTAAAGAACTTCTGCATACTAATAGCTGGTGCCATTCCAAACATTGGTACAGATGCATTTTCAATGGGAGAGTAAGCCTTAGACACCAAACATCACAAAGTATTAAAAACAGGGCTGTTTTGGTGAATGAATACCACTGAAACACATGAGTAAGATGATCAGAGGCTTGTGTAGCAGCGTTTTACTTACTTTATTCATAGCAATAAGCATCAAACTGGCCTACATACCAAGGACCACAGTATTTTGATTATGAAGTTTTTCTTTTGTTTCCTCCAACACCACAAATTCTACTTAATTTGGTGCTCTTCAGAAAATTGAGCTGGAAGTTAGATATTGTTTCTTAATGCTCGTTGGAAAATATATATATAAAAAAAACAATAACCATTTGTTTACGCAGACAGAAGTATTTTTTTTTGTTGTTTTTATTTTCTGCCTCATTAAATGCATGGGAAAGAACGGTTATATCAGTACCAGGTTGTGTGCGAAACTTCTCTAAACATGTCACTCCTGGAGGGGTCTAAAACCCCATCTGCCCAGGGACAGACTGACAAAAGTGAGGCTGCCGATCTGCCTCTACGCGAATGCTGCAAATAACTAACTCATAGCAAATACAAACACCAGCAGGGTGGGTGAAGTGCCTTGCTCAAGGACTGTATGGGCTGGTCAAAGCTGGAATTGGTGGTCGGTTTAAACTCTGATCTGCTGCCTCCCCAGTGAAGAGCAGAGCGCCCTCTAGAGCTTACACATGTTAAAGGACTCTGTTTTCTACTCTCTCCTCTGATCTCAGGTGCCGTCCTGTGTTTTCTGAATGGACAAATGTTCAGTGCCTTTTTTGCTGATTTATGTTACTACTGACAGAAATGAATGCAATAATATATTTAAGTTTAATTTAGCGATGATGAAGCTATTTAATTGAACAATATTTAATGTGCTATGTGGAAAATATGGATCATTTCTGTATGCTTTTAGACAAATGTGACCTCCAATGACCTCCAGTCTAATAAATTATCATATCCTTTTTCTCTAAGTTCCGCAGAGCATCTTCAAACCTGTACTTGCTCAATCATGAATATTCAAGTCACTCATCAAAAAGCTGTATGTTTTATAGAAAATATTAAAGATTTTAACTTGTATTTTTGTTTTGAATTAGTAAAAGGAAAGGTTTGTCGGTGGAATCTTGACTGAGATGAAAACCAAAACATTTAAGCTCCAGGTTTGGTGAGGGACCATTACAGCAGGCTTAAAACATGGCTGAAAGTTTTTGCATTTTCCAAACCCTTTAACTAACTGAGCAGAGCCACAGCTTATGAGAATGTGTCAGTGCTGTTTGTGTGGCGCAGAAATGGACTGGGCAGGAGGTTTGTTGGAAAAGGACGACATGGTGGTGGATTAAGCGTGTGCCAGTTCACTCTGTGATTTCACTTTTGTCTGACGGACTCCGCTGAGCTGCCCAGCTCTGCCCACTGCAGCTATGTAAAGATCAAACATGGGCCTCAGATATGGAGAAGACAGGATGCGTATTTTTAGTGTTAAATAACCCACCCAGACACTGAAACAATATGCTGACTCCACCTATCTGGGGAACACAGATGGGACCTTCTTGGTGAGGTGAGGGTGCTAGCTGCTCACTGTGCTGCCACTCAGATATTTTGGTTAGTTAGTTTTATGGTTTTTTACGATTTCCCTCAAAAATTTTAAAGTGTAGTAAAAAAAAAGTACATAAACCTTAACCATGAAAGACCAGTGACACTTGCTCATATTGTAACATTTGTGGGTTTGTTTATTTGCTCTTTCTCCATCAGAGGAAAAGAAATAATAAAACAGGTAAAGGAGAATTCTGTCGTGCAGGAGAAAGAGGGAAAGGAAGAGAAACATAGATGTGTGGACAGAGGAGGACCAACGATGCAGAAGAACCGTTCTGTGACAGCCGACCAAACGCATGCATAGTGTGAGTGTAACCAGCGAGTCCGCAGACCCACCGCCCCATTTCTGACACTGTAAAACAACTCAGACAGACCTTCACACAAGCCAAGTCATCCCTTTGAACAGGTTTTACACCACTTTCAGACACATACATCAGAATGGAGACATTCATGTGAAGTCATAGCATTGGAAAAAGAGACTAGAGTATTGATACTTTGCAGCTCATGTCATTCATCAAAGCTGCCTATTCCGACCTCCCTTCATTACGACATGCCTCTGTGTAGGTTTTCCGATACTTTTTAATATTGCTGTTCCTACACGTTGTTAAATTATCATTAGGCTATTATGTTTATTTCTGAACGTATGCACCTTTTGTTTAAAAGAGACGACAATAAATGCACTGACAGTATTTTGAATGTTAAAAATCTATAATACCAAACCATAAGGTGAGTAGAAAGAGTTAACATTTCATATTTATCCATAAAAGTCTGAGCAATTCTACACATGTAGGGTGCTGTAAAGTCATGGAAGATTCACTTTAGGTCATGAAAAAGTCATGGAAAACTTTTAAAATTTTGTCAATAAAAAAGAGTGGGAACCTTGGAGATATCATATATGGTGTTCTCCACAGATGTAAAGCCTATATGATGAAATGAACCAAGCACAAATGGCCTGTGCAGCCTCCATTTTAGATTAGATATTTTCCCGAAAGCTGGCCTATGCTCTTTTTAAAAAAATGCTTGACTGTTTCCCACGACTATCAGTTAGGACATTTTCCCACTGTCTGATATCCTGTGTGATCAAAGTATTCTCTGAGCAAGTGCCGAAGCACCAGCTCAAGCATCTTATGGTATATGGGAGCGCAAAGTATAACATGCTATCATGTTAATATTATTCATGTCAGAAAAGCAGAATGTTTGAAAAATAGTAAGTACCGCTACTCCGACAATGAAAAAAAAAAATAGTAGTGGGACTCTTCAAAAATAATGTTTATGTAATTATTCCAACAATTAGACATCAATGTCTAAATAGCAGCGTGTCAAAATAGCAGCATGTAATCAAAATTCCCTGGGGGTGTGATGCTAACTGTAGGCATGCTCTGTCTGAAGTTTTATTAGACTTTAATCTGAGCTTCGTTTTAACGCTGTCTGACCATAAAGAACGGACTTAGCTCGAACTACAAAAGGTGAGCTGATTTGTGCTGGTAAATAAGTCCCTCACACATAAAATTACAATCACAAGCTCCTGAACAGGCCCTTTAAAATGTTTAATTTAAATACATTTTTGCTTGCTAATGTCTGCATAATACTGTTTCTAGTCATTTTTGGCAAGTTAAGTGTGAACTCGTTAAAATCTAAGTTTGTGCTGCCTTCAGTGGCCTGAGCAATTTCCTGTGGTTGGTAACATCATCCAGGACTGCCCTGATTATAACCACATGTTTCTAATTACACCTGGCTGCAGGGGTGGAGTTTGAAGTGTGGGTACCTGTTTGACCAATCACAAGGTTCCTTATATCCCCAGACCCCGCCCCTCCAAGTGCTGCCATGTTTAGCAACTCTATTTGAAATGTGGTTGTGGGCAGAGTTTAGCTCTTTAGTCCCACTTTAACACTGAAGTGGAGAGTAAGTAGGATTAAAAAAAGGCTCTATTCACGCTCACGTCTACTAGGAAAACATTTGGAAACATGCGATGACAACTTCAGGTGTAGTTCCCGACAGTGGGCTCGCCGAACGACCGTGATAAAACCCACTGAAGTAAATGTGATCAGCAGTAAAATGAAGACTGCATACGTATGTGCTGTTCGAAATCATCTTGAATTTGGCGCCTTCATCTCTTCTAATTTCTTCTGAGTTGTGTGTCAGTGGGGAAATGATGAAAACTGAGGTATGGTATGAGGTAATTGTTGATTAGCCGAACATAACAGAACGCTACAATGACATGTAGATGAAGAAAATTTGACCATTTTCTCATTTTTCTTAGATTTTGTCAGACTTACTACTGCGAACAGAGGCCACCGGAAGTTGTCATCGCATGTTTCCAAACGTCTTCTGGTTTGTGACGTAAGCGTGAATAGAGCCCATAATATAGTAGAAATTGCTGGTTGAAATTTAGACACTAATCATCTTTCTTTTATGTTTCACAAAAACTGCTACAAAGTGTGCTCTAGTAGAATACATAATTGGCAATTTGGTCTTTACAACAGCAGCAAGTGCCGACATTATTCAGTCACTCAAACGTCACCTTTAACTGAACTTTAAGCAACAAGATTTATGCAGTTTCTTCAACTCTCAACAAAAAATAATGAGGTTTAATCTTGTTTGAGTTCACGTTGTAGACTTTGATGATATGAAAATGTCAGATGGAGGGCAGGGTGATTCACTATTTTTTAAACCTCTAAACAGATTATGTACAAATGTTGAACCTGATTATTTTTGTGGAGGATTTGGTCCAAAAAAAAACACGTTGCTTACTGTCCTACCTTTGTATTTGAGTAATATTGTCACTTTTTGACCCTTGAAGAGGTTGAATTCTGTGACAATGCTGGTTTCCTGTAGTTAGACCCAACGATTTCAAAGGTATTAAAGTTCCCCCTGTCCCTGATTTTCCCATGTATTTGAGTAAAACAGTACAAATATATTGTATAAGCAGCTTGAGGTGAAAATACATCCACTGTGTTCTAACTGCATCTAATTATAAAGCATTTTATTGTACGTTTTTATGTATACTGATGTTTACTTTTTACGTTTAGAAAGATCTGAATGCATAAGGTA